CTGCCAAACTGCTGGCAGCCGGCAGTTAGCAAAAGTAGCTTGCAGTACTGCATTCTAACCACTGCGCCAACTCGGCTCTATTTTGGATATCGCAGTGTAGCCCAAACTCTGAATATCTGCTGATCTCCAATGTTGGAGCAGCCCCCAATTCTGGGAGGCAAGCCGTTCCACCGATTAATTGTTCTCACGGCCAGGAAATTCCTCCTTAGCTCTAGTTTAGATCTCTCTTTGATAATCTTCCATCTGTTACTTCTTGTCCTGCCTTCAAGCGCTCTGGAGAATAATATGACCCTATTTAGCTTTCTGAGATCATCCAAGGTCAGCAGGCACTGAGAGCAAGCTGCAAGTGAATACTTCTCCAACGTTTCAGGCTTTATGGACCAGCGGGGGGGGGATGGTTCTGCACACGCACACAGCTCCACTGCTTGCACATGTGAGGATGTGTGTGTGTGCGCTCCCCAGCTGTTTCCACGGCCCGGTTGCAATCCCCTCACAGCCCACTAGTGGGCTGCAGCCCACAGGTTGGGGACTCCTGTATTAAAACCTTTCTAAAGCATATTTTTAAAAAAACCCTTTAGATTCTGAGTAATTGTGCTTTGCCAGCAGACAGAGATGAATGAATGAATGGACAGCTTGTAACTCTTATTACAGGTGATTGTCTTATTGTACTCTGACTTGCTCTGTTGCTCCAACAGCTCTTGCTTGGAGAGTTCCTAGTTTGAAGCAGTTAATAAATATCTTATGTAAATAAATATTTTCTCTCAACTGAGCAAGGCCAAATATAAGGAAGTCCAGTTGCCTCCTGAAAAAGCCCCTTCGGGACAACCATGAGCTGGATGACGGAGAATCTCCCTAGACCTTTAACCCCAAAGGTGGGGTTTTTTGGGGGTTTTCCTTGAAAATGTTTCACTTGGCATCCAAGAAGCCTCTTCAGTTCTTCAGAAAAGGAAGAAAGTCCAGTTACCTTTGGAAAAGCACCTTTGGGACAACCTGGATGATTAAGCATCTCCGTAGACTTTGGGAAACGAGCTATGGGATCAACAGTGATCTAAGCAGGTGCTGAGTGCCATCTAGTGGTTAGAAGAAGGACTTTCTTTGAAGCTGGAAGCATGTTGCCATCCTAAGCATACAATGATGAATCACAGAATCCTAAAATTGGAGGGGACCTTGGAGGTCCTCTATCCCAACGCCCTGCTTGATGCAGGGATTTTAATATTATTCTGAACAAATATTGGCTGTCCAATTATTTTGTGAAAGCCTTCAGGGATGGAGCACTCATGACTTCAGGGGACAGGCTACCCCACTGCTTAAGAGCTCTCAGTGAGAGACGGATATGAACACACACAAGCAGGAGGTTGACAGGGTTAGGGTCCCCAATATCGCTTTTATCCCAAGAATATCCTTCAGTCCCCTCAAATGTCTTAAAGGTGGAACAGCATCTACTGTACCTGAGCATAAATAGAGGAAAGTAGGTGTCAGGTGTGCCACTGTAAACGCCTCGGCCTGTTCACCTGACTGGCATCCTGCCATAAAACGTGGGAGAGGAGAGAATGGGAAAGGGCAGGGATGACAGGATGACAGGTGCCGGAGGCGCCAATCCTGAACAGAGCAGCACATCCAAGGACACGAGCATGAGAACAGAATGGGAAAGAGGCGCCAAACCTCAAATCTGTTACCAAAACACCAAATAATTCAAATATTATTGAGCACTCATGAACTGGTCAAGGGGGAAGGGCCCGGGAAATGGGGAAAAGGCAGGTTTTGAGCAGAAATACTCAGATCCAGCTTTGCTTATGCTACAGCCACTTGGCTTTAGTAAAAGTATACCTTTTGCTACAAATGGAGTCGAGGGTCTTTCTTTCCTAAATGCCCGAGATGGGACAAGCCTGACAGTAGGTGTGGAGTAAAGGCTAGATCAGCTCCCTGCTCCATTGCTGCCCAGCTCGATGGTTTTCTGTGCCACTGAACTGAGCCCAGGTGATGCAATCACACTTGACAGCGGCAAGACGTTTCTGCCCACGAGCCATTCTCATCTGCAACAGACCAAAGAAGACCCACGTGATTCAGTCCTGTTACGGCTGGAATCCTTTGCAGGAATGGGAGGCTTTTTGGGCAAGGGCGGAGTATAAACCTAATCCTCTGGAGGTGTGTGAAAAGAACAGGATCCTGGGAGTAGGCAGTGGAGATAAAGGGAGTGCTTAAGAGGTGAACCTCAATGGAGGAGAAGACATCTGGGACACGTAAGATGGGGGGGGGAGGCAACCAAGAACAGGTGCATTGCAGCAAAGGTTCCACCCAGCGAGGGGGTGCCAGAAGATCTTCAGCTGTCCTGCTGCAGGCCAGATTCCTCACAAAAACAGATTCCCCTGAAATAAGCAGTGTGTCAGGTCTGCCTTCTTCAACGTCTTCACTTCCCGGGCATCCTGCCATAAATTGCAAGGGAGGGGGAGAAATTGGGGGCAGTAACGTGTGGGTCTGGGAGTGAGAAGACAAACAGCAGGAGGGGAGACACATGGAGGAGAACGAGAGGTGTCAAACCGGAATAAAACAGCCTCCAAGGACACCTGGCCAGGGAACCGAATGCGAAACTTGGATGTGGATGTTTGGCAATGAGAGATGCCAAACATCCACATCTGCAGCAGAGGAAGGAAGCCAAACATCCAAAACCCCTAAAGGTCTCCTATTGGACACCGATGGACCAATAGGTCAAGGGGGGAGGGCCAGAGAAAGTGGGGAAAGTGTAACCTTTGCACGGGGATATTCAGATCTAGCTTTACTTTTACTGCAATCATTTGAGAGAGAGAGAGAGAGAGAGAGAGAGAGAGAGGGAGGGAGGGAGAGGGAGGTCCCTTCCAACCTTGCTTCTCTACTCTTTTACTTCTCTTCCCCAAAAACCTTTTCTGGAACTCCGCATGTACGGAAAAAGTGTCCATCCCTCTTCTAGAAGGAGGCTGGACTCTGCTGTGCGCTGAGGAAGCGCCAAGAACGCCCAGGCCCTTCTGTGAATGGGTCCCCTTCTTTCGCCAATGAATGAATGCCCTGGGCAGTCTTCCCATTTGGGGAGGGACTTGCCTTCCCACAAAACACGTTTGGTCTGAGAAAGGGCTCCCAGGTTCCTTGAGACTGGAAGAAGGCCTCCTGCACCCTGCTCTGGGGTAGAGTGAAAGTCTTGGAAAGGCTAAGAGGAACGTCCTGGGCTCAAAGAGCCTTCTTTTTTTAAAGAAATGCATTAAAGGGGAGCCTCCTGGAATGATCTGAACAGCTTCACAGGAGGTTCTGGGCGCCTGGGCTGAGTTGCCTGCTGTCCCTTTGCTTGTTTAGGTCTCTGCTCCCACCCACCCCGTCCCTCCGTCTGCCAGCCTCCCCACATCACCACTGACTTGGCTGTCTGCCTCTGCCTTGGGGCCAAAGCCACTCTCTTCCTGCACCCATTCACACACATACACACACACACACACAGAGAGAGAGAGACACACACAGAGACAGACAGACAGACACACACACACACACCCCTTCAGGGGAGCCGAAGCCATCCTCCTGAAGGGCCACCACAGCCCTTCCTCTTAGTCCATTCCTGGCACCTTTCCTGGGACTTTGGGGGGGGGGCTTTCCAGCTGCGGTCTCTGCTCCATCCGACCAGCAAAGCAGAGGGAGGGGCCATTTGCACAAGACACCTTCTTTGCTAGGCTGCTGACCCAGCTCCAGCCCCCCCACCCCACCCCTGGCAGCTTTTGCTGCTTTTCCAAAGTTGCTGCTTCAATTCCCGCCCCCCCCCCAGCAAAAATAGTCTGAATATTTATCAGAGAAGCGCTCACCTTCATCTTCGCTTCAGGAAGGCCCGCTGCTTCTTTCTCCTCGGCTCCCTAGGGACTCCTGCTTGAGCAGGGGGTGGGACTAGATGACCTCCAAGGTCCCTTCCGGTGCTGAAGCACCCACAACGTCTGCAGGCGAATCGTTCCCAAAGTCTGAAATCTGGGCAGCTCGAAGACCCCACCCGGAGGGCGCCCGCTTGGGGAGGGGCTGCCTCGGCCGCCCCGCGGCTCCCTCCAAGGCAAAAGCGGGGGGGGGGCGTAGAGAGAGAGACCCCCCAATCCAGCTGCGGGGCACGTGACCTCCCCCCTCCCTGCCCCCCGCCCCGTCCAGGGAGCGGCTGCCCAGCAGAGGCGCCTCCGCCCCCCGCGCGGGGCGAGCCCGGCCAAGGGGATAAAAGGCAGCCGGGCGGGCGGGGCGGGACGGAGAGGAGCCTTGTCGGGGGAGCCGCCGGAGAGACCCCCAGCCAGGTGGGTCCCCTCGCCCCCCTCCAGGCGCCTTTCCCGCCTCCTCTGCCCGTCCTGTGGGGAGGAGAGGGAGGGGGAGGGGGCGGGCAGTTGCATCAGAAGCTTTGGGGGGCATCACTCTTAGCCCCCCTCCCCAGCCCCCGCCTGGCCTCGCCGGCTGCCCCCCTTCCTCCCCCCGAAGCCAGCCCACCGGCCCCGCTGCTGCAGCAGGGGCAGCCTTTGCCCCCCTGGCCAGGCGGGCAGCAGCTCCCCCGGGAAGTGGGGAGGCTGGTCAGGAGACCCCCGGGGAGGCTGACAGGGAGGGGTCCCCGCTGCAGGGGAACGGGGGGGAGCAGTTTCCAGACACTACCACCCCACAGCTCATTGCCCCAGGAGGTTGGTTGGGGGTCTATTGGAGGGCACCCGGGTCAGCCCCCCTCCCCAGCACCTGTCCGGTTGCCAAGAGCTTTGAAGAAAAACTCCACACCCTGTTAAGAGAGGGTGTCCATTTGCAACCTCCTCCGAAGAGCAAGAGCGGGATGGGTCAGGAAGGAAAAGGGTGGAGAAGGTCCGGCTCTCTTCTGCCACAGAAGGACTTCTTCTCCAGTGGCCGGAACTGAGCGTCCAGCTTCATCTGCTTTTCTTCTCTCTTCTCCTTCTTAGCTAAGGATGCTGCAGGAAGCCTGTCCCCTTCTCCCACTTCTCGGAGAGCAGAAGATGTTACCCAGGTTAGCCACTCTCGTGATGGTCCTGGGGCTCCTTCCTCTGCCCCTTAGCAGCACCCAGGTAAGAGGACACAGAAAGGGCTGGGGGGAGTCCCAGGGGCATGGGGAGCGGAGGAGACGTGGGCCAGCTGTTCCTGCTGGGGGTGGCCTGGAGCCAAAAACCAAGGACGTCATCATCATTCATGCATCTTCAATATTTAGACATCATTCCCCAAAAGTTTTCTTTGGCAACTCACAACCATCTGTGGTCATCGTCTAAAATGTACATGTCCAAATTGCCTCTCCCAGTAAGTTGGGGAATACAGTTCCTATAATTCCTTGTAGCAACAGGGTCCACAGGAGAGGAGGGGGGGGTCAGAAAAGTCAAGATGGCAACTGCAGAATCAGGAGTTCAAGTCCCGCCTTACGCATGAAAACCAGCTGGATGACTTTGGGCCAGTCACCCTCAGCCCCACCCACCTCGCAGGGCTGTGGTTGTGAGGGGGAAACTAGGAGGAGGAAGGTGTGTTGGAGATGTTCCTCACCTTGAATTATTGGTAAAATGTAGGTACTCCTTGACTTGCCACCACAACTGAGCCCAAAGTTTCTGCTGTTAAGTGAAATTTGCCCCATTTTACGACCTTTCTTGCCACAGTTGTTAAGTGAATCACTGCAGTTGATAAGTTAGTCCCACGGTTGTTAAGTGAGTCTGGCTTGACTTTGCCTGTCAGGAGGTCGCAAAAGGGGATCACGTGGCCCCAGGGCACTGCGACCGTCATAAATGGGAACCAGTTGTGCCAAGCACCTGAATTTTGATCACGTGACCATGGAGGTGCTGCAACGGTCGTAGGTGTGAAAAACGATCGTAAGTCACTTTTTTCAGTGGAGTGGTAACTTCGAACGGTCACTAAATGAACCGTTGTAAGTCAAGGACCACCTGTAATAAAGACAGGATTTAAATAGATACTCAGATCCTTTGTAGCCCCAAGGACGAGTTGGGCTTTCCACTCCCGAGCCATCCTCGTGGATTGGGTGCTGAGTCTTGGGAGATGCCAGCCGGAAGAAAGTTCCTTTCAGCTGATCCGTTTTCTGGGGGGCAGACCCAGCCGTGGGGAGCCCCTTCCCAACCGGCTCTGCTCTCCTCCCTCTGCCTAGAACTGTCTGAGCAAACAACACGTCGCAGCTGCCATTCAACAGATGCAGAAGCTGCTCGCGGCTCACGAGGCGGCCCAGATGCGCAGCCTGCGCAGCCTGAAGAAGCAGCTCGCGCTCCTGCCAGGCGGTGCCCAGAAGCCGCCGGCCAAGCGGAACGGTAAAAGGGACAGCAAACCAAGAGGACCAAGAGAAGTCAAGATGGCGTCTGTCACCTAGGTTACAGACGCCATCTTGCTTCTTTTGACCCCCATCACCTCCACGGACTCCTGTGGAATGAAAGACTGCAGAATCCAGGGGAAAGGGGTGTTGAGTTGATTTCATTGGAATAAACACGAATAAATTTTAATTATTATTATTTTTTCAACCATTCTGACATCTATCTCACCTTGGTACGTGGGTGCATTTGAACCCAGATCTGCCTTGCAGAAGTCCAGTAGACTTGTTGTGGATTATCTGCCATCAGGCTCCTTCCAAATCTGAAAGGGTATAATAGAAAGGTCTTTGCTGATTATTTGACCCACGTTATTCCTGGGAATTAACGAAAGGTTACAGTCTAAAAGACACGTCACAAAAGGAAAAGGGGAAGGGAGGACGAAGGGAAATGAGAGCCAGTTCTGAAGGTGGCAAAGTTCTTCCAAAGATCCTGTTGCTTACAAGTGCCGCAAGAAATTAGCAACGGGGTCTGGCCCTTTGCCTTCGGATGTCTCAGGTCTGTCTTCAGCTGAATGGCCAGGAAAGTTGCTTCTGATTCAACCAGGGATTGTTTGAGGAACAAAGACGTGTCTCCACCTTGTTTCTTCTTCTGTCTTGCTCCCTGCAGAGAGCTGCACCCTCCCTGCTGCACCCACCAACGGCAGGAGGCTGGGCAGGGGGACGGCCGTGGGGAACGAGGTCTTTTTCGTCTGCAACCCTGGCTTTGCACTGACCGGCTCCGAGACGCGGGTCTGCCTGGAGAACAGGACGTGGAGTGGACGGACGGCCTTCTGTAAACGTGGGTGGAAGGAGAGGGCTCCTGCTTGCGATCTCGGGGCTTTTAAGCAGTCTCGCCTCCCAGATGCGTCCATAGGTAGTCCTCGGCCACACAACTGAGCCCTGAATTTAAGTTGCTAAGTGAGACATAGGTTGAGTGAGTTTTGTCCCACTTGATGTCTTTTCTTGCCCCAGTTGTTAAGTGAATCACTGCAGATGTTAAATTAGTAACCGGGGTTGTTACGTGGACTTTGCTTGACAGAAGCTTGCAAAAAGGGATCACATGACTCTGGGACACTGCGACCGTCATAAATATGAGTCAGTTTGCCAAGCTCTCAAATTTTGATCACGTGACCCTGGGGAGGCTGCAACGGTCATAAGGGTGAAAAATGGTCATAAGTCCCTTTTTTTCAGTGCTGTTGTAACTTCAAACGGTCGCTAAGTGGACTAGCTGTTTAAAGCCTTTGTCCCTGCTTTTGGGGAGCTGAGTTGCTTCAAAATATGTTTTATGGTTCGTGCAGTTTATTGTTTATCTGTTTGCCTTTTATACCACATCCACTCCTTGGTACCCTTGCTTTTTTCAGAAGGGGCCTAATTCTGTCCGAACTTGGGTCCTGCCAAGGGAGGGGTGGGCTGGGTCTCAACTCTTGGCAACCAGAAGCATCTCCTCTTTCTTTCATTCCCCATCCAGGCACCAGCGATTGTGCCAGCCAGCCCTGTGCCAACGGAGGGACCTGCCTGGATGCCGTTCGCCGCTACAGCTGCTTGTGCCCCACCGGCTGGTCGGGGAACAACTGCCAGGCCCCCCTTCATTCCTGTAAGTGAGAGAGAGGTCCAAGAAGCAGGACTGGCCCTCTGGTCCTTTCTTCCCTTGAGGGGTAGGAGGGAGGGAGGGAGAGCAAGGGAGTTGTGGGGACAGTCTCCAGGCAGGGACCTGGAGGTGGGGGCTCCCAACCCTAGAGCAAAATTCTGACTCCCTGCATCAGACCTGCTTTGATAATGTCAGTGTTTAGAATAGATCAGAGCTGGAAGGGACCTTGGAGGTCTTCTAGTCCAGCCCCCTGCTCAAGCAGGAGAACTTATACCATTTCAGACAAGTGACTGTCTAGTCTCTTCTTAAAAACCTCCAGGGATGGAGCATCCACGATTTCTGGAGGCAAGCTATTCCATTGGTTAATTATCCTCACTGTCAGGAAGTTTCTCCTTAATTCCAGGTTGCTTCTCTCTTTGGTCAGTTTCCAAACATTGTTTCTTGTTCTGAGAATAGTTTGACCCCCTCTTCTTTGTGGCAGCCCCTCAAACCTTTAATCACCTTTAATCGTTGTAAGTCTAGGACTACCTGTAGTCATTAAATAACTGGTCGTAAGTGGAGGACTACTAGTGGAAGGTGTAAAAAGCCAGCGGAGGTCCCACCTCTTCCCCACCCTCTGCTCTGCTGATTGGTCACTGTAAAGTCCACCCTAACAGTGACCTCTTGACCACAGACAGGGCAGCTGTGAGCAACGCAGCCTTCAGCCGTCCACCCCACTGTGTTGAAAATCATGGGGGCTCCCGCCAATGCAGCTGCGATGCTGGCTTCCAGTTGACAAGGGGAGGCATGTGTCAAGGTAAGGGGGGGGGCTGCTGGTAACCATATACCCCAATTGGGGCCCCCAAGTAAAGTGGCACTTGCCGCTCCCAGAATGGCACTTGCTACCATTCCTTGCATCACAGATGCGTTAACAAGAAAATAAAAAGGAGATAGAATACAACCATCAGCCAACACTTTTGCTGGATGGTTCTGTAGCCAAGGTAGCCATGCTACCAAAGAGACACATCTGGTTGGGGGTCCACCAGCTCCTCATGGGAACATGGCTGCAGGCGGGATGTGCTTCCCACCCAGACTCCGTGGACCAAAGGAACAGCTGGCCTGCTTTTGTGGCACTACCTCCCCCATAATCCACCACCTGAACATTTCCCAAGAATTGGAGCACTGAGTTGGGCAGGGATCGGGGAGCCCTTTTCTTGCCCTGGGGACCCATTCAGCAGCTTCCTTTCTCCGCTGCAGATGTGGATGAGTGCCAGCTCTACCAGTCCAATTACCACACCCGGATCTGCCTCCACGAATGTGTGAACCTACCTGGGTCTTATCAGTGCACCTGCCCGTCCGGCTATCGGTTTCAAGCGGAGCAAAACATATGCAGCGGTGAGTCCCTCCCATCCTCAAAGCGAGGATCATCAATTGCAGAAATGTAGAGCACCAATTATACCCTCATCAGGCAGGCTGTCTGTGGGTGGGTGTTAAAGTAGTGGTAGTCCTCCACAATTGAGTCCAACGTTTCTGTTGTTAAGTGAGATGTTTGTTAAGTGAGTTTTGCCCCATTTTATGACCTTTCTTGCCACAGTTCTTAAGTGAATCACTGCAGTGGTTAAGTTAGAACCTGGTTGTTAAATGAAACTGGCTTTCCCATTGACTTAGCAGCCCCATGTTTTTGCATTTCATACAGGGAGTCCTTGATTTACAACAATTCATTTAGTGACTAAGTCAAGGACTCCCTGTATGAAATGCAGAAACACGGGGTTGAAGGTCTTGGCCCCATTCATTCCAGAGGTGCCGGGAGGCTGGGCTGCCCTCAGCGCGTGGATGCCACAACCCTGCCCCATATTCATCTCTTCAGAGCAAGGATGTGGATTGCTATCTGTTGCAGTGGGGAGTTGCACAGAGCTGGGATCCGTGTCCCTGTCTATTTGCTGTAGATCCTTGCTGGGATCAGAGTGGCACAGGGCCAGCCGCCCAGAGCAGTTCTGACCCTCCGCCAAATTCCTAGAGCAGGGTGAGGGCATGTAATGTTTGCCAGGACCCAGCGGGGCTCCAGGCCGCCAGGGTGGAGACGGGCAGACAGACTCTTCTCTGTTTATCTTTGAAAGATGTGGATGAATGTGCCGCGAATCAAGACAACTGCAGCCGTGGACAGACGTGCGTCAACGTCTTTGGTGGCTTCCGTTGCGTGAAGCCCGAATGCCCCAAGACCCAGTTCAACACGACTTATGTCAAGACGTCGGCCTCGTAAGTAGACGTTCCAGCAATGAGGATGGAGGGTGGGGTTCTGAGCAGCAACTGGGGCTAAAGATGACAGCAGGAATTGGTTAGGGCTAGTCTAGCGAAAAGAAGGACCAGGGCTGACATGATTAGCATATTTGAGGGGCTGCCACAAAGAGGAGGGAGTCAAACCATTTTCTAAAACAGCAGAAAGCAAGACTGGAAACAATGGATGGGAACTAATCAAGGAGAGAAGCAACCTGGAATTAAGGAGAAACTTCCTAACAGTGAGGACAATTAATCAGTGGAACAGAAGTTGCCTCCAGAATCCCAAAGGGGTTTTTCACAAGGTACTTTCTTGAAGAAAGTCCAGTTAACCTGTGAAAAAACACCTTTGGGATAACTATGACCCATTAGATGCCAGGGTGCTTTCCCCCGATTCAGACATGTCTTTGGGCACCTAAGATGGCTCTAAACTCTTGGTAGTCCTGACTGGGTGTTTCTCTTCCACCTCCTCTTTGCAGGCAGTGTGAACGGAGCCCTTGCCCCATGGGCAGCCAAGCCTGCCAGAAAGCCGCCCATGCCATCTCGTTCCACTACCTGCCCCTCCAGTCCAACCAGTCGGTGCCCTGGGTCCTTTTCAGGATGTCCACCAGCCGCTCACTGGGCGACAGCCTGCGCTTCGCCCTCTTAGGGGGCAACAGCCAGGGGAGACTTGCCGTCCAGCGCTCAGACCAGCACACGGGGGAACTGGTGCTCACCCGCTCCGTCCTGGGCCCAGCGATCCTGGAGGCGGAGGTGGAAATGAGCGAATTTGCCCAGAAGGTTCTTCTAGGGAAGCACATCTTCAAGGTCACCGTGTTTGTTTCCCAGTATGAATTCTGAGCCCCTTGGAAAGCCGGTCAGGCCTTGGGAGAAGCCCAGGAGCAGATGTGGCAGGAACCTTGAAGGCCAAACCAAGTCTTGATCGGCTGAACCAGACTCTCCTCTCTCCTCTCCATTGTGGCTGGACACTTCCCCCACAATCTGTCCCCTTTGGGAGGCTTTGGGGGAGAAGCAACGGAGGGGAAGCCCCTCCATCCGTGGAGGAAGACCAACAAAGTGATTGGAGTTCATGCAACAGCTGGCAGGGGCAAAGAACCGGAAGGCACGTAAATCCTCGTGACCGGAATTGCAGCAAGAGTAAACTCCCAGGATGGGTCAGTGGGCTTTACTAGATGTAGGTGTTCCCCTAAGCCTGCGTGCAAGAAAAAGGCCAAGTTGCACGAAGCCCTGCAGAGCTTGGAAATTCAGCTTGGGATGTGGGTAATAATAGCCATTCAGGACGGCAGCCTTTTCGGCTTGGCTGCTGGAATTTATTCCACAGATACGTTTCTGGGCCATCGCAATCTCTACGTTCCTTTGAGAGCTGGGTGCTCTGGCTCCTTTGGGCAGAAATTGGCTTGGTATTTTTTTTATAATTTGCCTCAAATTCTAGCTGGGAATCATTTATAGATATCTTGTGTTTAAACAGCCTGGCTCAGACTAGATACAAGTAGGCCCTGTTTATCTTTACAAGCAAACTAGATTTGGTGTGTAAACAGCAGTCATTAAAATACAGGGTTTTGCTGTTATCCTGTGTCAAATGCTTTGGCTGCCATAAAAGAGGGTGGCTAATCACCCTAGGGCAGGGG